ACCGTCGCCGCTGCTGCGGGGACCGCCGCCTCCTCGGACGCCTCGGGACTGAGCATTTGAATATGGGGGTGGCCTTCGGTGACAGCTCTCTCCCCGACCCGCGACCTCCTCCTCCAGTATCTACGGCTATATTCAAAAGCCAGAGTGCGGGGGCTTCGCCCTGCCCCCATGGCAGACAATAGGGGCAACTGCCGGAGCACTCTGCGGCGCAGGGCGGAACCCACACCTTCTTCGAGTTGCGGGGCGTTTCCCTGAACACAAGCCATAGGTGCCCTCTTCTTTGACTTAAGTCAAAATCCCTTTTCAAGGGCCAGTTAATGGGAACAAGGATGGTGTCAAAGAAAGCGACAAGATGGTCACTACCTTTCTTAGCAACACTGACACAAAGCCGAGCTCACTACATTTGATCTTGGCTTTCCCACAGGCAAAAACACACCTCTGGTTTTCCTTCTTTATATACCACGAATATTTAATCACTTGCGTTGACTCAAATACCGCAGGCAGGTCTTAGTTCCTGTTATTTATTAAGTGGATAGAGCACCTCACCTCCACCGATTTCATCTGACGACCCACCCACAGCAGCTTTAGTCAGTGTAGACCGAGGAGCTACATAAAGTAATTGACAAGGTGTCATGCTCCCCACCCCGTGAACTTGTGTGAGTGTGTGTGTGTGTGTGTGTGTGTGTGTGTGTGTGTGTGTGTGTGTGTGTGCGCGCTGAGGGGGTGTTTCGAAGACGCCAGCTTTTGAAAACAATCTCAAGTGTTTCACACAAGTATTAATTACTAAGGAGAGGTCTTTAAAGTGCTGCTAAGTAGTTTTATTTAACTACTATTATATAGATGTACATTGCCAAATGTCTTTGGGTCTTAATACTTGTCTTGGCCTTAAGTATATATTATATTTGAGCAGAGTGGTTTTGTGGATTGAAATTTCACCCCAAGTCGCAAATGAGCTGACATTTCTAAGTTCAGAGCTCATGGGAGGTACAAGCTTCCTTATTTATCTTTGTGTGCTCCAGAATCCTTTCTATAACTCAACAAATATTTGTCGGATTTGCAGAGGAAATCAACTACCGTTAGTAGAAACCAAAAGACTTACTATTAGAGCACAATCTTAGGTATGTTTAGTGGACTCAATGAAACGTTCAGTATCTTTCCCAGTTAGTGGCATTAACCAGACACCCTCATCTACACATATTTCAACTTAATTATATCTCAAATGTGGTGGGTTGTATTTTAAAACACCTGACAGATGTTTCTGGATTCTGAAATACTTTGTACATAAGAATTTGTAACATTGTTCCTTTCTTGCCCAAAATGTCTGAAATTTTGCTTAAGTGGCCATGAGTAGGATTTTAAAATCACTTTTCATACTTTTAAGTTACATAGGGCACTCACCAACTCCCGGTACAATTTATTGAGAATATGCAAAGGGCTCTGGTACTGGATATTGTAAATCTAAGACAGAGCACTTTGAAATGCCTACGTAATAAACGTTAAATTATAGTAATAAATGCTTGCAATGTCTTTGTCTTATATAAAATATATTAAAATGACTCATAAAGATGTTATTAAAAGGAGTTCACATTCAAACCTTGCAAAATGTCAAGTTCATTAAGATAGTGTACTTCAAAAAAGAAATGTAGTCTTCCTTGGTTCTTAAAGGCAGCCTAAATCTGTATTTTATCCAACCACTCTCACCATCACCTTAAAAACAGGAAGGCAAGGCTGTATTGAAAAGTTCCTTTTTACCTTCTTTCAAGAAAGGAAAGTGCCAACAACTTGCTTTGGGCCAAGTTAAAGAGATTATCTCCCTTTTTCATTACAACTGGGTCTTTCAGTTAACTGAATGATAAGATCAAAGTGCATTCATATCTTGTGAATTCTTGCTTTTGACTTGAATAATGATGGATTTTATTATTTTATTTAAACTGAAACCTGGAACATTGTTGCTCTTGAGGCTACACCCTTAAGGCTGTAGAACTTGTATGAGGACTCAAAAAAACCAAGGAATTAGGTCTGACAAACCATGCCATTTCCATAATGCACCAACAAACGACTCAAAAAAAAAAAAAAAAAAACCTGGAGCAGTTACATTTCTATAGACTCTTACCACTCAGATTTTGACATCTTTCCAGCTTTAACAAAGCTCCTATGTTCAGCAAGCACACTTCACAAATGTCCAGGGATGTATCACAATGGGAAGATGAGGTGATAAATACTTTGAGGTGCTCCGGAATCACACAAATTAGTGTTATCAGTAATTAGCTCATGGAAATGATTTTTGCTTTGAACATGATTCATTACAGTTTGTTCCCCATTGTAGCTGAAAAACTCAGTCAGGGCAAGTTTGAGAAAATGTGTTTACCAGCTGTTTCTATATACGACTCATGACAATTTTCTTAAAGTATTTTCACTTGGGTTTTCTTCGAACTCATTTTTCCCCCTGAGGAGAAAGGGGCTACCAGATTCAATGGAACCTGCTTGGTTTTACCAAATGATCATTCTGATCAAAGAACTCATTTTTTAGCATGGCTCCACCACTTGGGAGAACACTTTTTTTTTCTTTTTGGAAATCCATTACACTAATGTAACTTTACACTGGACAATTTAAGCAACCTTTAATCTAGGCTTAGGAAAATATATTTTCATGAACTTTAACATAGTACATGTAGTCCTTTTAACTTAAGGTTAAATACTAGAGCAACTAGAGCAGTTTACTTTGCTCTCTTGGTCTGCAATGGGTTCTGGGGAGACCCTTTCCCAGAAAGATAAGTGATGCCAGATACTTGCCACCCTTCTGGAGTTTTTTGCCCTGCGTTCATTTTACAGGAGCACCACATTTATTTACTTTTTAAAACCCAGTTGTGTTACAAGAAGTCTTTCCACTTTGGGCATCACACATCCTTGATTTTGCCAAGATTTCATCAGCTGTTTCTCTTTGGGATATGTCCATAAAGATGCTAAAATTATTTGGAAACTCTCAAGAACTTTATCCTTGCTTTATAACTAAAACGGTAAGCAATTCCATATTGTTTCACCAGAACAGACTTCCAGCAGAAAGTATTCCTTTGCAGTTAAGACTACATTTTTCTCATCAATGGGAAAGGTAATCATATTTTCTTTATGTGAACTATCCTTACGTTGTTTGCATGAGAACGTTGCTCTTCACTATAAAATTAAATATGGGTTAATGGTGGGATAGGAAGTAAATTTAAATAATTCAGTTTAGAATAGTCACGCTACTTCTGAAACAGTAATGATACCGCAAGTATGTTCTCTGTAGGAATGAGATGTAGTGCTATGGGGTCCTTGAATTCACTCTACCTTTCAGCGGGGTTCACTATCCGCTCTGACCATTTCTGTTAGAGGAACGGACTTGAGTCGATAAACAAGTGACGCTATTTTCACTTCAAAGGTTTCAGAAACCTCGCAAACCTTTTCTGTACTTTTGCAGTGACTTTCAGAAGTCAGCGCACACGGCCAATTAGTTTCTGAAATAATCACTGCACAAGACATTTTGGCTTGGGACTACTCTGAACCGCAAAAGTTTAAAAAAAAAAAAAAATTTGGAGCCTCGCACATGCGCAGTGAGGTGCATGCTCTCTCCTCCGCCTTCTCCCTAAATAAGCTACTGTGTCCCGTCCTCTCCTGTGAGACCCGGTGTGCGTCGGGGGTCTGAAGGAGCTGGCTGCTGGGGGACCTCGTAGGGTTCTCTCACAGTCCTGGCAAAGGGGTCCGGAGCCCTTCCCCACTCTCCCCGCAGCTCGGGAGCGTCGGGGGAGGAGACCGGCCGGGCCAGCCCAGCCCAGCCGCC